GCCCGTGGCCCAGGCAGCAGTAGCATACCTCTTGTACCCGGTGCGAGGCAGTGTGGCTCTTCCTCAGGTTTAGGTCAGTAGGGCATTTGCTCACATTCCCTAAAGAAAGAAAGGGTTGGGGCCAGGCACAGTGGCTCACACCTATAATGCCAGCGCTTTGGGAGGCCCAGGTGGATCGATCACTTGAGGTCAGGAATTTGAGCCCAGCCTGGCCAACATAGTGAAACCCTGTCTCTACTAAAAAATACAAAAATTAGCCAGGCGTGGTGGCACACACCTGTAGTACAAGCTACCTGGGAGGCTGAGGCAGGAGAATCACTCCAAAAAAGAAATACATGATTGAGCTGGGCACGGTGTGGTGGCTCACACCTGTAATCCCAGCACTTTGGGAGGCTGAGGTGGGCAGATTACTTGAGGTCAGGAGTTCAAGCCTAGCCTGGTCAACACAGTGAAACCCTGTCTCTACAAAAACACAAAAATTAGCCGGGCGTAGTGGTGCACACTTCTAGTCCCAGCTGCTTGGGAGGCTGAGGCAGGAGAATGGCTTGAGCCCAGGAGGCAGAGGGTACAATGAGCCGAGATTGCACCGCTGCACTCCAGCCTGGGCAACAAAGCAAGACTCTATCTCAAGAAAAACAAAACAGGCCAGGCGCGGTGGCTCACGCCTATAATCCCAGCACTTTGGGAGGCCAAGGTGGGCGGATCACGAGGTCAGGAGATGGAGACCATCCTAGATAACACGGTGAAACCCTGTCTCTACTAAAAATACAAAAAAATTAGCCAGACGTGGTGGCGGACACCTGTAGTCCCAGCTACTCAGGAGGCTGAGGCAGGAGAATAGCATGAACCCAGGAGGCAGAAGTTGCAGTGAGCCGAAATCATGCCACTGCACTCCAGCCTGGGCGACAGAGTGAGACTATGTCTCAAAAAAAGAAAAAAGAAAAAAAAGATGAAGAGATAGCCTCATTGACGGTGGGACACATGGCAGCCCCAGCACACATCAGAGACCCTGTCCACCAAGGGCTGGGACCACCCAGGCTGGGTCTGTGCCCCAGGGTCACTGACTGTGGGCTGCTGGGGGCACTAGTGGCCCAGCTCTGCAGTCGTGTCTGGGCACTACCCAGTAAAGCCAGACCCCCACGTCCTCAGCCCCCAGGAATTCCCAAGAAGCCCTGAGCGCCCCACGATGTGAACAGAGGCTCCTGGGGCTCGGTTCTAACAGCTAACAGGAACCTCCAAAATCCCGCCCACAGCTGGCAGGTCTCCAGGCCTCTCAGTCTCTTAAGGGCTTTTGAATGTGAATCCCAACTGTGTGCTCTTGTTACAAGCTTGGATTAAAGCTGACTCCGTTTTCTAGTTTCACGAGTACTTTTTCGACATTAAGCTAGTTCTACGGTAAACAGAACGCTCTCCATGGAAGGGCGCGGTCGTGCAGCGACTTCAGGAACAGAGGGGCCCGGCCTGTGTTCCTAAGGGGACAAGTCCAGGCTAAGACAGGACGCAAGTCCAGTGGAAAGGCATTTTCATGACCCTAAATCATTTTACAGGACAAACACATGATCAGAACTGTAGTAGCCCCAGATTTTAGGGCTCACGAGGGTCTCTGAGGTGCTGCTCCGAGGCCTCGCCATGGCCCGGCTAGAGCGGTGTCGGTGGCCGGGGGGCCGGGTCGGGAGGCCCGGGGGAACCAGCGCCCTCGCGACGCGCTGCCCTGATGAAGACGCGTGCGCTGGCGCTGAAACGCCAGGGTTTACTCGAATATCCGAATACTCAGGAGGTAAAGCAGGAAATACGGACGCAAGAGCCTTTTCTACGGAAGGACGGGCTGCGGGACCCAAACCCCTCGAGCCCCTTCCTCTCCGGGGGCGCAGGCTCCAGGCAGGGACCCCCGGGAAGGGCGCAGGCTCCGGGCAGGGACCCCCGGGAAGGGCAAGAGGCGAGCGCTGCGTGGTGCTCCCTGGCGGGGGCCACGCGTTCCCGGAACTCCGGACGCCCTCTCGATGCCACGGCTCGGAACCGTCTTATTTACAATAATGAAAAATATCCGACGTGCTGTGAAAGAAATGAGAGGAAGTTCCCCTCGTATATTCATTTGTTATTTATCTGTGTGGGACCCCGGCTCCCCGCAGCCTCCACCCCTCCCCCGTCCTGCTTTCAGCTCCCTCCGAAGAGGTCCCGGGTCAGGGGCTGCAGCCGGGTCCCAGTGCGTCGGCCCAGCTCGTCCAGCACCGCCTTCTCCTTCTGGAACATCTGGAAGGAAGGAAGCGCGCTGGGCCCTCCCCAGGGAAGGGGTCCGCGCCCCACTCTCAGGGGTCGCCTCCTCGGGACGCCCCTCCCACAGGGTTTGGGGGAACCTGGCCGCCCGCGCGGCTCTAGCTCAGGCCGAAGGGCGGGACCCGCCTCCTGGCATCTTTACCAGGACCTAAGCTCAGCGAGTGCCCCAACTGCCACAGGCTGGGAGAAGAAGCGGGGCTGCAAGAGGGAAGGGGAGCGCGGGGCGGGGGGGGGGGGGGGGGAGGGAGGAGCGCTCACTGCAACCTCCGCCTCCTGGGTTCAAGTGATTCTCCTGCCTCAGCCTCCCGAGTGGCTGGGATTACAGGCGCCCGCCACCACGCCCGGCTAATTATTGTATTTTTAGTAGAGACAGGGTTTCACCATGTTGGCCAGGCTGATCCCGAACTCCTGACCTCAAGTGATCCACCCTCCTCGGCCTCCCAAAGTGCCGGGATTACCGGCGTGAGCCACTGTCCCCAGCGAACTTTTTCTTTTTTTAATGAAAAAGGTTTTTCATGACTTTCACAGAAGCGGATGGTTTGCTCGCCAACACAGGATAGTGTGCGCGTTAACCATGCGGACCGGAGCCCGCGTGGGCCTCTGTAGACAGAGCGCCTGGGCCTGGGGGAAACCAACCTTGAATTCACTTCGTGCAGAGCTCCCGGCCCCGCCCCGGGTCTGGCCTAGTCTCTAGCTGACTGGACGTTTTTGACCAAGCACCACTTGCTAGTGTCAGCTGTGGCTCTCGGCCTCTGCACACAGACCGCTTTTCTTAGTGAACACATTCAGCTGGAAGTATCTGGGGAGCCCCGTGTTGAAAGCAAGCATCTGAGTCATTTTTCCAAGGGCAGGTCTGAGGTCCAGTTTCTGCGGGGGTGGTCAGGATGGAGGGTGGGGGCTGGCAGGGGCCTGGGGCAGCCTCCTTCCCCCACACACCCCCTGGGTAGCGGGAGGATGGGCTCCTTACCTGTTGCCACTCCGCCTCCGTGCTGTGTGTGAAGCCCAGCAAGTGACAGAGTCCGTGGGTGGCCGTCACCTGTCAGAATAATTTCAAACCGGCTCAGAGGATGACCCCACAGGAAGCTGCCCCTTCAGGGACACCCCAGGGCCACAGGCTGCTCTTGGTGCATGGCTGCAGGACCCCAGGGCTGCTGTGAGACCCCCGCGCAGGAATCACAGGCACTCGGCCTCAGCTCCCTTCCATCTAAAACGGAAAGCAGGCAAGCCCCTTTCAGACTCTTTAGTCAATGTGGAGTGCTGTTCGGCCGCACTGTGCTGGGGAGGCCCCCACGATGGAGCTGTCCAGCCACAGGAGTAATGGACAAGGGGGGTGGATTATGAAGAAGTGAGGAGGGGTGGGTGCCGCAAGGTTGGGGGGTAGTGGGGCACCGGCCGGGGTGGCCTCCCTGCCCTAAGAGGGATGAGGCAAGGGCACAGTCCACACCCCAGGCCCAACCCCCAGGAGGGGCAGTGCCCCAGTTAGAGGGCGGGGCCTCCAGTGGCCCCTGATTTTATTGAACACTGTGGGTAGAGCTTTGGTGCACAGGCAGCACAGGGAGTGGAGAAGAGGTATGAAGGCACAGGGGAAGGGAGGTGCAACTGCTGGTGACTTGGGAAGACCCACATTTACCATGTCCTCCTGGAGAGAGGGCTGGATTAAAGCTCACAGGGGAGGGGCACCCAGATGGAGCCCAGAGCTGGGGGAGGAGGAAGAGGAGGGAGGGCCTGTGGACCCTGAGCAGGCACAGCACCAAGGGGGCTTATGGAGCCACATGGGCCACAGGGGTGGCACTCCCCTGGGGTTTGGGTGGAGGGAGGAGGGAGACCTGGGAGGTGGGTATCCTTGGGGCTGGTGTGAGGTGCCTGGAGACATGAAGGACAAAGCAGGGTACATGGAGGGTGCAGCTGAGAGCCAGCCCTGAGCAGAGCTGTCCTGGCCTGTGGCCATGATGATGGGGTCCTGGGATAGTGGGCTGGCCCTCCATTCAGGTTAATAGGGAGCCCCACGGAGAGGGCTCTGGGCCCGAGGAAGAAATGCCAGGGGCAGACCAGGGAACAGAATCTCAGGAGGTTTGGGGAAAATGGAAGCAGATGTCCACATGTCCCCCACAGTTGCTGGCCACAGAGATCCCAGGGCTGAATCTCGGGCTGGGCCACTTCCTGTCACTCTCAGAAGCTTCCTCTTTGCCAGCAGGGTATGTGTGGTGGGCACGTCCCACCCAGGTCTGGGGGGAGCAGTTGGGGCCCAGCCCAGGTTCCTGTGTGGCCGTCCCAGCCTTTCACGCTGGGTCTGGCTGGGAAGCTCTGCCTCAAACCACACACATGCACTTGGATCCCCAAGGACGACTCAGGGCATGGCTGTTCAGTCAAAGGAGGCCAAGTCAAGTATGATTCACTCATACATGGCTTTTCAGAATACCTTTTGGTTTTTTTTTTTGGCATCAAGCTGCTGAAACCACCTGTGCAAAGATGATGACAGTGAGAGAAGTCTGGCACGGCTGACTCCATCTCAGTCCTGGGCACAGGCCAAGCTAACCACGGGAGGAATTTAATCTAGAGTTTAACTTGCGTGGCTGACTCCACCTGGCTTCTAGTCTCACAGGTTGGCTGTCCCCACTCAGTCCTGGGTACAGGCCAAGTTAACTATGGGAGGAATTTAATCTAGAGTTTAACTTTAAATCAGGAATAGTAATCATCCCTCCCTAAAACGAATCCCCTCCTTGCTCAGGACCGAAACCACCTCTGTAAAGCTAGTGAAGGGCCACAAGATGAGGACAACGGGAGGGGCCTGAATTCTGCTCAGATGTAGGTGTCCTGAGGAGAGCCAGCCAGCAGCTCTTCTTCCCCAGCTTGCCTTGCTATGATTCCTTGCTGCTCAGGAGTCATGCAGCCAGAGGTCACAAGATTTGTGACTGCCCCAATTGCTCCCCAATAAGATAACATCAATAGTAGAACCTAAGAATGGTCTTTTGGGACGTTTTTCAGACTTTTGAGTGCTGGCAACCTACAGACTGCACCTGGACCTGAGACTCATGACTCAGCTGATCCTGTGGTTCCACCCAGAGGTAGACTCAGCGGACAAAAATCATTTACACCCCATGGTCTGTCCCCAACCAATCAGCAGCACCCATTCCCTAGCCCCTGCCTGCCAAATTGCCCATGAAAACCCTAGCCTCTGAGTTCTCTGGAAGATTGAATAATAACTCGTCTTTCCACTTGGCTAGCTCTGTGTTAAACTCTTTCTCTACTGCAATACAACGGTCTCAGTGAATTGGTTTTGTCTGTTCAGTGGGCAGGAAGAACCCATAGGCGGATTACACTGAGGAGAAATAGATCTGGAAGGTGGTGGAGGCTCCAACCTCTGTACTTCTGGCAGCTCAGAAAGAAGCTGACCCAGCAGGTCTGGGTTAGCTCAACATAGTCTGCCGTACTCCAGAGATAAAAGCTGAGAAGGCTTCTCTGGGAGCTTCTGTGTTTCCACAGCGTGTTCTCTCTCTCCTCCAACTGTCGCATGAGGCATGCGGTTCCTACCCAGCCTGGGTGCTCCTCACACCCTGCTTACAGGTTCTTCCCCCAGTGGCCCTTATGGTACCCATGGACACACAGGATGCAGGGCTGTGATCTCGACCCCTTTGCATGGCCCATGTTCCATGCGCCAGGTTATATGATTTCAGCATCCCCGCTTACAGTCAGGACGTCATTGTAATCTTCATCTTCTTTACACTGATGGAAGATATACTCCACTCCTAGGAAAATGTCTCCCAAATTGTAGTCATCTGGAAAATCAGGCAGGGGAAATTCACCTGCTTTCAGATGCTAAAAAATGAGGAAATGCAGACTTAGAGAACAGGAATCGTAACCCAACCACAGGTTGACAGGTTTCATCCTGGTTATTCCCAAGGCAAATAAGCACTTGCTCTCTGACCAAATCACTTTTTTTTTTTTTTTTTTGAGACGGAGTTTCGCTCTTGTTGCCCAGGCTGCAGTGGAATGGCACAATCTTGGCTCACTGCAACCTTTGCCTCCTAGGTTCAAGCGATTCTCCTGTCTCAGTCTCCTGAGTAGCTGGGATTACAGGCGCATGCCACCGTGCCCAGTTTATTTTTGTTATTTATTTATTTTTTTGAGACGGAGTTTTGCTCTTGTTGCCCAGGCTGGAGTGACTACCTCCTGGGTTCAAGCGATTCTCCTGCCTCAGCCTAGCGAGTAGGTGGGACTACAGGTATGCGCCATCACGCTCGGCTAATTTTGTATTTTTAGTAGAGACTGGGTTTCTCCATGTTGGTCAGGCTGGTCTCAAACTCCCGACCTCAGGTGATCCACCCGCCTTGGCCTCCCAAACTGCTGGGATTACAGGCATGAGCCACCGCGCCTGGCCTAATTTTTGTATTTTTTAGTAGAGATGGGGTTTCATGGGTCAGGCTAGTCTCGAACTCCTGACCTCAGGTGATCTGCCTGCCTCGGCCTCCCCGAGTGCTGGGATTACAGGCGTGAGCCACTGTGCCAGCCACCCAAATCACTCGAAAGCTGCATGTCTAAGGCCAGGGTAGCAGCTGGGTCTGTGGCGGGGTGGGTTGCCCAGCCAACTGTACACAAGTGCCCTGAATTGTTTCCATTGTGAAAATCGTCAGAATAGCCAGGCATGGTGGTTCATACCTGTAATCCCAGCACTTTGGGAGGCCGAGG